TATATTAAATTTTAAAGGCCCTAGTTTTTATTATTTTTAAAGAATATATCATAAAATTTGAACTAAAATTATGCCTAGTTAAAGTTACTCCTTAAATCTCTTTATTTAAATTATTTTCACACTTTAAAATGGCATAAAATCCAATTTTTAACTCGGAATTCCCTGATGTTCCCCCTGTAATTCCCCCCTTATATTAGGTTTACCCCATATAATCCGCTTTACCGTCACATACTTAGCTACTTAACCAGCGATGAAAGCCACGCTTACCCCACACACACAAGAAGCCAACAAGCGAGGAAAAAAATTTGTGTCCAGGTGTTGCAACGCTTTTTTTTCGATGTGGTACCTCCTCTTCTCTGGCATATATATGGGTTTCGCCAATAATTCACGACCCTGACGGGTTCGCGCTCTCTGCCTATGGGACGTGTCACAGCGCCGCAGAGATAAATTAGTTAATAAATAAAAAAACAGGGGGGAAAAATACTAAACTAATTTGCATATTTTGCCCTTTGCAATGGCAATGCCAAAAGCCAATGAGGCGCACCAGAAATGCATTTGAACCGAAATAACAATATCAGGGAAGAGGAGGAGGAGGAGAAGGGGTTGCCTGCCCAACAATTGCCATTTTGCTCGCTCGTCGAATTGTATTTTTTCCTCTTTGCCTGGTTTTTGTATTTTTTGGCGGGACGTTGAAAATTTTTCTATTTTTGGCAGCGAGCTCATTTGCATATGAGACAGCAAGGATGTTTTTTTCGGTGCGTGTGTATGCAGGATATGGCAGGATATAGTGTGTGTCTGTAGGGGAATTTTTTGGCAAACTCACTACGTAGGTAGAAAGTGAAAGGATTCGGCAAAGGATAAGCGAGGCGCCCTGATTGTAGACTCTTAACGGCCGTTGCATGCAAAATTGCAAAAATTGAAATTGCAGGAGGTAATGACCCTAAAAAATAAAAGATGATAAATGGGTCGGTTGCATCCGCGGGTTGATTTCGCATACATTTGCCTATGCAATTTGCCTACAACCGGTGACCTTGCCAAAAAAATACAACAAAGAAAGGGTTGCTCAAGGGGTGTCTTCTTCGGTTGCTGCTGTCTTGTCTGTTTTCTTGAGTCTGTTTTTTTGGCGCGCAAAAAAATAATCGAGAGTTGGTCGGGCATATGGTAAAGAGTTGTCCGAGGCTTCCCTTTTTACGCAAATTGATTGCAGCTGAGGATGAGTCGAAGTCGGGAGTCCGGGAGTCCTTCTAATGAAACGTTTGTTTGCAAATGAGCAGAGATATATGCGGAAGGGGGTTGGTAGGGTGATGGCTGTAAGGATTATTTGCATGAAATTTACTTTCAAGATGATGTAGGTAAGACGGACAGAACAGACAGCAAGGATTAATTGTATGGAAGAGTATTTAATCGATTTTTCAGGGCAGAGAAGATTGTACGACCAACTGTCAAATATGTAATTTGAGTTTTAGAAATTAAGAAAAAGGCAAATCAGAGTCTGATTATAATAACAAATAAAAGTAAAAGCTAAATTATATATATAAATATTTTTACAAATAATTTACGAGCTAAGATAACAATAATTAGAAGCTTTAAGTCCTAATAATCCAAGTTAACCAAATAAAAAAAAAAATAATAATAATTAAAATCATTTAAACAAAAGTCAATCAAAAAATAATAATTTACCAGGTTTAACTATTTATTAAATATATTTAAAATATAAAAAAAAGTATATATAACGTCCTCAGAAACATTAAGTTAATTTTTAATTTAATTTCTTTTATTAAACCCTAAAATTCAATCAATAAACACTTTCCTTTAAAGTCTTTTTTCGTGTCCCCAAAACACCTAAAATCTTTTCCAAACTAAACCTAAATTACGATGCTCAGACACATTAAATAAATATAATAAAATAAAGAAATAAAACACCTACGTCTTGACATATATTCGATTAAGGCCAGCGTAATAAAATAATGATTTTCTTACCTAAAATCCTGTTCGGAGAGCATTAAATACCGCTTAAACGAATAAAATTGCTTTGCATTTGCCACAAATTAGTGGCCAAAATAATACACCAACACCCACATGTATAGATACGAGTTTATTTTCGCATTAATTGTGCTGAGCGATAAACAAAGCGATCAAAAGCAGACCAGTTTATATGTCTTGATTCGGAAATTATGGCACTTTAATTACCAAAACAGACGCCGTGCCACGAAAAGCAAACCCCTAAGCAAATTAATGCAAAATAAGAAGAAAATTATGCTAATAATTATAAGCAAGTGCGCCAAAAAACAAAAAAATCAACACCACAGAGAGGTGTGAGAGGGGAGGGTTTTGCCATTTATAAAAATGCAGCCAAAATGCTAATCGAGCTCATTATCATCCAAATCAACGGCGAGCCGCGGCCACGAGAGATCTTCTTTCATTCATAAACGCAGCGCTTAGTTATGTATTTTTTCCTGTTTATTTTTTATCATCGCTGCTCTTTTTTTATATTTTCTCGCATGCGGCGCATAATTATGCAACAAGTCCTTTTGCCCGAAAAACGCGGCGCGTGCGCATTTAGCATAAAGCGAGACTCGAAACGCACAGAATCACCGGGGGAAACAGGATTTTTTCCTTCAACATTTGAAATTTAAATACAGTTTTTTTTCTGGTTGTTATTTAGCGCCTCTACCTAATTATCATGTAAATTTTTGTCTAAGGACGAGCACACACAATGAATGGTGGACTGCTGACTTTATATACATATATTTTGTCACTCGGGTGTTTTTTGGGCTGGAAAGAGGCGCTTGCTTGGCTTATTAATTATGCCCAAGTGCGTGGCCAAAGGATATGGTCATGGGAGAGAAAATAAAATGTAAACAAATTTCATGCAAATACGTTGTCTGTGTCGTCTGGCTTGCGTCTGCTCAGAGCGAGCGGGCTGACCTTAGTTTGCATAATTTTCATTTTTTTGTGATTGAGCTCTTGACCTGCCGCAAAATGAGGTCCATGGATATGTGTTATAAGAATTTACGGGGGTGTAAGGGGTGAGTGTGCTAACTGGGAGTGTGTGAGGGGGTATTCGAAATGGGAATTATTTAAGGCTGAAAATATTTTAGGAGATGTTATTCAAAAACATAAATTTACAAGGAAAGAATAATAGTTATTTAAAGGCTATAAATAATTAATTCATGATTTTTTATTTAATCTATGTTATGAAGATTACTTAAATTATCTTACAATTTGCTTAATAATTTTCATCATTTTTATAAATAAGGAAAACTCATAAAAATATATCTCTCCATATAAAAAAACCCTAAACCCAAAAGAAATCTCAGCTTAATATTTCCCCTTTTAAAGAAAAAAACAATATATATTTCTTATTCTTTATATTTTTAGTCAAAATCCAACTGTTTTATTCATTGTTCTGAAACTTTTTTAAGTGGTTTTCCGTTCAATTCTTCCCATTGTCCCGCTCCACGCTCCACTAAATCAAAAACTGCACACTGAGAGACAAAAAGCTTCCCCTTCTGCTAACAAATGTTTAACTATAACGATGCCACAAAAACAGTTCCTTTAGCTATGCAAATTTCTGTGCGATTTTTGTGGCAATTTCGCCAAAAACGGCCCATAGAATCAATGAAGCTGACAAATAAAGTAAATCAAAATTCTATTGTGTTGTGGGAACATAATTTAACTGTAAACCAGTCAAAACACAGTTTCGCTTACAAAGGCCAGAAAGAAAGAAGATATTGTGGAAAAGAAAGGCACATTGTCAAAATAAGAAATAAAACTGATATGCATGACAAAAACTGAACAATAAAATTAAAACTTAAAGTGTCTTCTTTTTTGTGGAATATTCTTTTAACTTGAAGATTTTTTCACTTTTAGCAGAGCTAATGTTGGGAGGGAGTATCCTAAGTATAAATATATCCTCAAGCTATAATATATAGAGCTTTAAAGGGTTTTATTTAAGTTAAGTTTTATTTAAGCTCTAAAATGTTTTACTTTACACTTACTTAAATTTGTTTAATTTAAGCTTATTTCAATTTTACCAAGGAAAATTTATTTATTAGGTCTATTTTATCTTAGCTTTTTCTATATTATTAAATTGTTTGGGAAACTATACTTTTATTACTGTTAGATATTTTTGCAATATTATTCATTATTTCTATTAATTTAAGTAATTTGTTGACAAAATAAAAATACTCAATTTTCCTTAGAGATTTTTCTAACAAAAAGAGCAACACATACACATACACAATAGGATTAAAAACTTAATTATTTACATTTCATAAAGCCTATCTAAATACTTTAAATTTACCAAAGTTTTGTGGTTAAAACTGGTATAAACCTTATCCTTTCAACACTATTAGTGATAAGATTTCGCCATGTCTATCACTCTTTGATTAAACCTTTTTTTTTTTTGCCACCCTTAAGAAAAGAAAAGCCACACACACTCACAAAACGAAAGGAAAAGTTGTCTGGCCAAGGAGCAGCGAGGAACTGAAGCAAAGCTTCCTGCGGGAGAGAGAAGTCCTGCGAAAGCTTCCCTCTGGCTCCAATGCTCCTTGGATGGATACACGCCATATAGTCCAGTCTCGCTCTCGCAATTACAAAATGTCACTCTTTGCATGGGAATGCAGTCAGTGCCTTCCACAGAGTTCTCTGTGCCGTCCCGAGATCGCCTGGCATATGATTTTCCTATATATGCTGTGCTCTCTCTTTTTCCCACTTTTTTTTTCGTTTCTTTTTGGGGGCGTAACGCTGGAATACATCGAGTCCAATAGAGCGCAAGTCGCCTTCCAGTTTGCGAGCGCCTCTAGCGCCATCCCACTCTGAGGATTTGCTATCTGCCCTGCTCTGGTGCTCGTCCAAAACCAGTTTCCCTTGCCGGCTGCTCGATGGTGTGACTGTGTGTGCTCGTTGGACGGGGTGTGTTTGTGTGTGAGAGTGTGCGTCCGCAGTGTGTGTGCGACGTACGCTACGTAGCACTGCGGTGCGAGACATGACGTTAGTTCACTTCGATAGCTCTGCGAGTCTGCACGTGAATTTTCCCTGAGCTCTCCGGCTGTCTGTCGAAATTCTGAGACAAGAAGAAAACGCAGCAGCAGCAAGAAAGCTAAAATCTCTCAATCGGAATCGAGAAGTCGAGAAATCGGAAACGGAAACAACACACACACACACAAAAACACACGCTCTGAATTTCTGAATTCTTCCCAAAAAATAAAAGAAGAATCTCTGCCCCAAAACACACGCGTCTTCTGTGACACATTTTTAAGCTAAACAAAATAATAGCGAAAATCGAAAAAAATCGAAACCCAAAAAATATATAAAGTGCCAAGTGTTCCAAAAAGTGTTTGCTAAAAATCTAAATGAAAGAAAATACAATAAATATAATTCAAAATAAAATAAACGTGTAACCCAAAAAATAAGAAACAAAGTTTTCCCGACGGGAAAAAAGCCAAGAAAAATTTCAAATACAAGAAAACTTGTTGAGCGCCAAGGAGAGGCCAAGGAGGAGGATATAGGATAGGACCAAGAGGAGCCTAACCGAGATTTGGAAACATTTTTTCGCCTGCCACGTTGTACGTAAAAGACGTCAAGACGGTTGCCTCACGGTTCGAGTGGAATGAGCATAGGGACCCCGGTCTTCCTTTCGATCGATCGGTGTACAAAGTCGTTAAACTGAGCCCCAACTTGGAGCCCTACCCCGCCAGCGTGGAGGGCCTGAACAGCCCCAGAGCGGTGGGGATGGCCGCGACCTCGTACATGACCCCGCCCAGCGGTGATCTGGACATGGCCCTCGGCGGCGGCGGCGGCGGTGGCGGTGGCTATCACACCTCCTCGCCCCGTTCCGCCGCGGATGCCGGTGAGATGAAGTACATGCAGCACCATCATCATCATCATTCCGCCGTCGCCGCAGCAGCAGCCGCACATCATCAGTTGCCCTCGTCGCCGTCGCCCAATGGTCAGGGCAATGGCACTGGCCTGGGCTTGGGTCCCGGCTCGGGACTGGGTTCTTGGAGCACACTGCATCCGGATCCCTGGTCACTGCCCACGCATCATACGCACCATCATCCCGCTGCTGCCGCCGCTGCCGTTGCCTCGGCGGCGGACACAGTGAAGCAGGAGATGTCACATCTCTCCCAGCAGACGAGGATTCAGCAGGGCATGGCCTCGCCCTCGCCGCATGCCGCCTGGCATGCTCCACATGCCGGTCACTATGCACCAAGCGGATCGCCGCTGGGCTATCATCATGCGATGAACGGGATGCTCCATCACCCGGCCCATGCGGCTGCAGCGGCACATCACCAGAGTGTGGCGCCGCTGCATCATGCTCTCAGAGGCGGGGAGTCCCCGCAGCTGCACATCCACGCCCATCACATGGGCGGTGGCGGCGACAGGGATGCCATCAGTGGCGGCGAGGAGGACACACCGACATCCGACGATCTGGAAGCCTTTGCCAAGCAGTTCAAGCAGCGACGCATCAAGCTCGGCTTCACCCAGGCGGATGTGGGTCTGGCTCTGGGAACCCTTTACGGCAATGTCTTCTCCCAGACCACGATCTGCCGGTTCGAGGCACTGCAGCTGAGCTTCAAGAACATGTGCAAGCTGAAGCCGCTGCTGCAAAAGTGGCTGGAGGAGGCGGACTCCACCACCGGATCACCGACGTCCATTGACAAGATCGCGGCGCAGGGCAGGAAACGCAAGAAACGCACCAGCATCGAGGTGAGCGTGAAGGGGGCGCTGGAGCAGCACTTCCACAAGCAGCCCAAGCCCTCGGCCCAGGAGATCTCCTCGCTGGCGGACTCGCTGCAGCTGGAGAAGGAGGTGGTCCGTGTGTGGTTCTGCAATCGGCGGCAGAAGGAGAAGCGCATGACGCCGCCAAATACACTCGGTGGCGACATGATGGACGGCATGCCGCCGGGACATATGCATCATGGAGGCTACCATCCGCACCATGACATGCACGGCAGCCCCATGGGCACCCACTCGCACTCGCACAGCCCGCCGATGTTGAGCCCACAGAATATGCAGTCCTCGTCGGTGGTCTCGGCGCATCAGTTGGCGGCCCACTAGCAATCAGAAATCCAGGAGTCGAACTCAGCTGCAGCTGCGTCCACTCCTGCATCCCTCAATAGCCTAAGCCAGCAGCAGCAGCAGCAACAGCAGCAGCAACAACAGCAGCAACAGCAGCAGCAGCAGCAGCAACACCTGCAACAGCAGCAGCAACATACACCCAACACACCTTCCTCGAGTGCGGGATCGTCGGCAACGATGACCAGCCAGGTGATGTCGCCGCAGAGTCCGCTGGGCAGCTCTTCCGCTGGCAACAACAACAACAACAATAGTAGCACCAACAATAACAATAATAATAACAACAATAACAACAACACGAACAACAACAACGAGGAGCAAGTGAAGCACCACCAGCAACAGCAACAACAACAACAGCAGGCCTCCACCATTGCAGCCGCTGCAGCAGCCGCCATGTACATGGATCCCATGCGCTACCAGCATCCACATCACCCTCACCCGCATCCGCACCAGCATCCGCATCTGAATCCCGCCCACCATCCGCACCTGTTCCATACCAGCGATCAGCTGCAGCAGCATCCCCAGCAACAGCAGACGCCCGGCAACGGCAACGGCGGCGGCGGTGGCAGCAACTCCCAATTGTCGCCGGGAGCTGGGAGCAATAGTGGTCTGCCCCTTCAGCCGCCCAGCTCGGCATCGCCAGCGGGCTCGGCCTCCAGTGTCCTGGGAGGCCATCTGAACCTGAATCCGCTGCACCAGCATCATCACTACCAGCACCATCATCACCAGCAGCATCATCATCACCATCAGCAGCAGCAGCAGCAGCTCCATGCCCGCCGCCTCTTCGAGTTGAGTTTGCAATTTGGAGCCGCCGCGGCACCGGGAGCCGTGAGGCATTTTAATAGCTTCGGCGGGGCGGGCGGTGCTGGCGGGGAATAGCATTCGTCGGCCGCCTGGTTTGGCTATGAGTCCTCCTAGGATTCGGCGTCGAACGGGTGGCCGCAGTTCAAGCGGGAGCGGGAAAGGGAGAGGGACAGGGACAGGGATCGGGACCGGGAGCAGCCCTAGGATCGTGCAGTCGAACTTTTTCAGCAAGAGAGTAATTTTTTGAATTTCTACAATACAGTTTGGGGATATCATTGAGATGATTGTGGGGGTTTCTTAGGGAAACTTAATTTTAAAAATTAATTTACAAGAAATATTATTAAAAGATATTTTTAAAGGTTAATATTCACTGAAATACAGAAAGTTTTTAAAGAAAAAAACCAAATTTACAGTAGGAAAATCCTTTTAAATTTTGTAAAGAACTCGAAAGAGAAAAGTTTTTTCGGTAAAAAATTATATACAAATCTCTTAAAATCTGAAATAATTTAAAAAACATTTCCGAACCGTTTTAAAAGTCTAAAAACTGTAAGGAAAATCTTAAAAATTTCAAAACTGATACTGAAAAATATTTAAAAATTCATTAAAAACACCTTAGATAAACCCGCGTTGAAAAAGTTCGACTGTGTCATCTATAGGGAATATAGAACTAAGATTAGGTCTCCGAAGATGATGATGATGATGATAACGTTGATGAGGTTGAGAGATCATCTTTTTTACCAGTGCATTAATCTGTGTTAAACTTCAGCTTAAAGAGGAGCAGGGAGCGATGGGAGTAAGAGGAGGAGGAGGAGGCTGCCATCCACCAGTTTAGTTTTGTTTTTAAAGTTTGAAAAACTTGCTTAAATTAAATCAATTTAAACTAAATTAAATGTAAAACGAAAACGATTTCCTTTTGTATAAAGCGAAATAGAAACACGCAATTCAAATCAAACGTGAAACCAAGTGATGTTGTTTTAACCTAAAAAAACTAAATGCTAAAAATTAAAACTAAAACTAAACAAGAAACAAAAACTAGTTAAAAGTGCGACCCAAGTGTTAAAGAAACCAAAAAATATGAACAAGTAAAGAGAAAACAAATTCCTCAGCTGCTCCACCACAAGCAAAAAAGGTAAAAAGTCCACAAAAATATTTTTTCGTTCTTTGTCACACTTTGTCGCCGCCGTCTAGATCAAGTTAAAAAATTAAAAACACACAAAAAATATATAAGAAAGGCTCAAGAAAAGGCCCCAGTCGGTTCTAGCTAGGGTTTAGGTTCTTAAGCAAGCCGTGTTTATATATATTATATATATATAGCCAGTAGATTGTACTCTAAAAAATTTATATATGACATCAAAAAAACAGAAAACAAACGACGGAGAAAAACCTAGAATTTAACGCGCGGCGAGATGAAAATGGTATAAGTAAATATTAATGAAAAAAACACCCAAAACATTCTGTAAATAAAAACTTACAGTTAAGTCATATTTTTTAGCTTTAAATGCAATTGTAGATTTTTTAAATAAACCCTACGAGAAAATCATGAAAAAACACAACTAAAAAAATCCAACAACATTTATAAAATATATATATATAAACTGTAATTTCTAGGCGGTAATTTTTAAAGAATTAGGCACGACGTGAAGAGTTTAGTTACTTAGTACTGTACTTTCTATTGTAAGCCAAGGAAACGAATGGTAAAAACCAACAACCACAGAATATAGCTAAATCTTAAAATTTAAACAAACAAATAATCAAATACAACCACAACAAATGCTAAATTGTAATATATTAATTGATGTACATTAAAAAAACAAAAAACAAAAAAACGAAACATGGCAAACCTAAATGCTAAACAACAAAAAATGAAATTATTTCAACAAAACAAAAATAAACGAAAAATTGTGTAAAAAAAAACCTCCTCAATTTGTGTTTTTTACTCGTCATTTTTTGTATACTTTTCTATTTTTCTATTACAATTTTTTGGGTGTAACTTTATATATACATTTATACTAGAAGTAAACGAAATTTTTGTTTAGTGTACTCTTTGTTTTTGGTATGTTGAAAAACTATGCTATAAGGAGAGCGATGCGATGAGCAGTGAAACCGAATATTTAAGATTAAGCCATGCCCTCAACTGTATAATAAATTATATATACACAAAACCACACACACACACACATATATGCAGCAGCAAAGTCAACAAAACACACACAAACACACAGAAAAAACAGATGAAAAACCAGAAGAAAAAAATTAAATGAAAAAGCCAGAAAAAAAACTCTTAAAAAACAAATAAAAAGAATATTATTCGAAAAAAAAGACGGTCCTTTTATTATTATTTAATTAGCGCTCAGTTTGTTTTGGTTAATTTTTTTTCTCACATTTTACGAGACAGTTTTACAGACATTTTACGGCCACCTTTTGCAGAGATGCTGCTGGGGCTGCTGGGCGTTAATACCTCGGATATCTGCCGATAATTGCGCGTATTTATTAATTTCATTTGTTTGCTTAAAGTGTTCGAAAAGCCATTAAACAATTAAGTGGGCATATTATAATGCGATTGCCTACGTCAGCGAGAGCAATTGGTAATTAACTAACAAACACCTCTCGCAGATCGGGTTCGGATCGTTAATGAAAGTTGCCATTAAAAAGCGTGGCATTTCGTGAAATTACCCTTTTTTATAAGGCCTTAAGTGCCCCAGCAATTTGATGGATCTCCTCTGGATGAATGTTCCTGGTCAATGCTCAATCGTCAAAAAATACACAAAAATATTGACGTCAATCGGCGGGCGATTAAAGTGACAATTTGCCAGATTTACGGGGTCGCCAGGGAATTACTTTGGTTTTGTCAAAAACAAACAAAAAAAAAGGATTTACGAGGAGTTTATTGTTTATATTTTGCCCAAAAAAGGTTAATTTAATAAATAATTCTAAAAGTTATTCTAGCGTTAGCATAGGTGAATCATAAATGTAGTAGTTTCTAAATAATATGGTTTCTGAAATCAATATTTTAAAAACTAATATTATTACATAAAATATATTTTATTTCTATATTTAAAAACCTCTTTTCCTATATTTAAAGTAAGAAAGAACTGGGTTAAACCCCCTTTAAAGACCTTTTCAATTTTCCCCCAAGTAATTCCCTTATTATTTTAGCTTCTTTAAAGCCAAAATTAATATTATCATGCAAAAACAGAAATATCATTAAATTCGTCTGAATGCCCCCTGCACTGCCACTTGATCGAAATCTAATGTGCCGCACGCTTTTAGCATTTAATTCATAATTTAAATGCATATTTCATTGGATGTGTTGATTAACAATATTCACAGAGGCCCCAAAAATGTTATTGGTTAGTACGAGTAATTCCGCATAAAAATTGCATCAGCCTGTAAATATATACACAAATATCCTGAACCCAACCAAAAGCCAGTTTTAGGCTTAAATATATATATATATATAAATATATATTGACAACGAAAACAATAATAAACAGCAAATAATAACAATAATATATAATACAGAAGCGCAAGTGCAATGATTTTTATTTATGCGACGGCATTAATGTTTTAAAATCGTCGTTGGAACTTCCAACGTGGAAAATTAAACATGAAAATTATATATTTTCTATAATACATCCACGGGCAAACACCCACGCGATGCGCTTCATGCACTTGAACAATATATATATATTTATAATGCCCAATATATAATTATTCTCTCTCTCTCTGGTCTCTTGATTATTTTCTAAAAAATAGAGACGTCGAAATGAAATGAAATTTAATGGGGAAACAACATGGCGGCGACTGCCCACAACAGCCTATTTATACGTTTTATCTATTGCCACCTGCCATTTTTGGGGGTAGTTGAAGCAGACACACACTGGCACACACTCTTAGTACACACGCACACCCAATGACTGACTGCCGCCCCTCGGGCTATATAAACTTTTATATGGAAAAACGTAAAGGAAAGGTTTTTTTAATGGTCGAAATACGCTTAAAGAATTTATGGGATTTTCAGAGGATTGTCCAAAAACAGAAGAGAAATTCCTTGTTGATTAATCATAGTTAATGGATTTTAATAAGGAAATTAAATATGTAATATACTTCATTTTTTATTCTTTTAATTACTAAATTCATATTATAATTAATAATATTTTTAAAAATATTTTTTATATTTGTAGTTTTGTTCTAAGTATAAAAAGAACTTGAGGATTATTATTGAACTTCCTTTAGAAACTCTACTGAAATTTAACATAATATATGTTAAATCTTTAATTAATTTGTAAATATTTTACCAAGAAAGGCTTAGCTTTTCAGTCACTTTAAGTATTACCTCTTGATACCCCTCCTTCTTGCTTAATTTAACGGTGGCAAAAACTATCATAAAATTCAATACTCAAAAGCTAAATTTTATTTTCAACTCTGTTTTTGGTTCATAAAAATTATATGGCCCACCTTTTGGAGTAGCTAACATTCCGCATTATGTGGATGATAAAAGAAAAGCCACTAATATGCGAGGGCAAATTGTAGTTTTCATTGGTTTTAATGTGGCCATGCGTGCCGAGTGCGACGGCAACACCCCCTACACACAGCACACCCTCCTCTATATACACTATACACTATACTCATTCGTATCTATATCGAAGCGGTAGAGAAACCCCTCCTCGAGGCAAAATACCGACATTTTCATTATTATTATTTCGAGTGGAGTTGGCTTTTTATTATTTCGCGTGGCAAAGCAACACACCGCCGCACCGCCGCCTGCTTTTGTGTGTGCTTTTTGGGCTGCGTGCATACAACCGTGTCAATAATTACCCGTGGGACTGACACGACCAACGAGAATCATTCAAATGTTGCAGAAGCTGAAGCACCAGCCCCGGCTAACAATGGCTAAAAACAAAAGCTACAAAAGCTACAGAAGCTGGCAGCAGCAGCAGCACAGCTTGGTAACGGAGTCGCTGCCGGGAGAGTCGTCGCCGTTCCACAATGGCCAAGGCATATTGCCATTGTGGCAGCACCGCGGCAACTCGGCTAAAATGGCTGACACTAGTCAACGTCACCCGAACGTCGTCGGGGGGCCACAACTGACGAACTGGGTGACTGACCATACCCCAGGAGCGGATTGTTTAGGTTTAAGGGGTGGGGGTTTCCTTTTTAAAAGGGAAGACTCTTAGTACAAGTTCTTTTAAAATGTTTTTAAAGAGGTTTCCTAGAGATAAATCGTTTAAAAACAGTTTCATAACATTTTTTTAAATATTTAATATATACAAATAAATTAAAAGTACATATTTATTTCTTACAATTCTTTCTTTACCATTACATTTAATCAATTAACTATTTTTTTAATTATAATATTCTTTGCAATCATTTAGAATTAAAGAAACACTTAATTTACGATATTTCCTTATTTTAAGTTCGCTGAACTTTAAAACAAAACCAATATACAATGTGTTGAATAATTTATTAAGTTTGTTTAAATTATTTTAGTATTATAAATTATACAAAAACTGTAAATAATTAGGGCTTTGTCTAGTCTAATGTGTGTTGAAAATGTTTTTTAATTTGTTTGTATATAAATATTTAATGAAACAGGCCCCTAAAAATATTTGTTTTTCTTGTAATTAGTTATATTTTGTTTAAGTTTGTTATTTGTCAAACTCTTGAGTATATATTAACTAGTTTTTATATTTTAAACTAATTTTAAACTCTGAATCCGTCCCTGTTTCCGTCTGACAAGAGTTGGCTTTCGGCTTCGGCTGGTCGACTTTTTCACTGGCATTCGGAGTGTCGGGGACTCCGGGCTCATTATCTATGCTTCCTTTGGGAATTTTCATTTTCTTTTTCCCGCTCTGGTTTTTTTCTCTTTTCATTTTCTTTTGCCGTGTGCGTTCGTGTGCGACAGTTTGGCCAAAAGGAAACAAAGCGAAAGAATAGATGAACAACACTTTACAGATGGGGAAGTTCGTATATATGTTTATATACATAGATTTATTGCAGCCAGTATAGGATTTAGAGAGGGTTTTGGGGATTTAAAGCCACTGTAGGTCATATCCAACCTTATACTAATTACGAAATTTACAACCTCTCGAAAAACTTATTAGACTGAAAGTCAAAAGCGTTGGAAATTCTTTTTAACAACCCACAAAAGTAAGTTAAAATATATAAAAAATAGAGAGAGAGATAAACACTCCCACACCTTGGCGAATTAAGCTGTGACTCTATGTGTAAAATGCAAGCAAAACAAGCCACAAATTGGGATGCGGCAGGCAGGTGGAGGTGGTGCCTGGTGCTGGTGCTGGTTCCATAGGTGATTCCAAAGGTGGTGCGGGGGCGCCGCCATTCGACACCTTCGACTGTTGGAGGCACTTACGGTGCTGGATCAGCCTAGACACCTAGACAAATAATGCGGGCATGCTATATATGGAAGATCGTTCTGATATATGTGCCTGCTCTACGGGAAATTTTAAGGGGGACGTTTTAAAAGCTTTTGGAATTAAATGGGGAAATATTGTTAAACCTTTAATAATCCGTTTTTTTTTTGGGTAAAAAAAGAGATAAAGAACATTTGGTAATTAATTTTGGAAAAGGTATTTAAATATAATTAAAGCTGAAAAAAATTTAAGAAATACTTTTGAGAGTACCTATAAAATCCTTATATATTCCTACTATCCTTCAATTATCACTCCTGGGGGAAAATAACCCCCTTGATAGCAATTATCACACTCGTTGATAAATCAAACTCTTGGGACCGCCCTCGCATCCATAAAGCCATCTA